TATTGAAAGAAGGCAGATACAAAATCCGGAGATTGGGCAAGGTATGCGTGGCACTGATATTAGAATTTATGGACGACAGGCTGTTGTATGAAAGATCAAGCCATTCAAGATTTTGGAGTTTCAGTAAAGCGTCCAACTCCACAATGCCACTCAAGTTATTTGATGATAAATCAAGATCAGTCAGGTTCACAAGTTCGAATATCGACTTTGGAATTTGACCTTGAAGTTTATTATTCCCCAAAGATATCCATGTGAGTGATTTGTATTGGAACTCATTGATATGACCAGTCAATTGGTTATTGTGGATAGTTATGAATCTTAATGATGGGATGGTATATAACCAAGCTGGTAGTGCTCCGTTAAGTAAGTTGTTAGACAGGTCTAGGTCAATTAGGTTAGGGAAAGCACTTGCTTGAACAGGAATGGAACCATCTAGTTGATTATCAAAAATGTACAAGGATCGGAGTTGTTTTAGGTTTGTGAGTGAAGGAGGTATCTGACCACTAAAATGATTTCTAGAAAGTTCCAAATAAGTAAGTTGCGACAGGTTTCCCAATGAACTAGGAATTGGACCGGAGAAGTTACATAGACCAAGCTGCAAATGTTTCAAGGACCCCAAATTACCGATTGAATTAGGTAATTTTCCAGCGGAAGAGGTTCCTAATAGATTCAAATACTGGAGGGGGCTACTCCAATTGGACTCTGGGAGATGGACAATAAGATTTTTGTTTCCCTTCAGATCAAGCAACCTAAGGTTTGGTAGACGAAAAAAGCTCATTGGGAAGTCTCCTCGCAAATCAGAACCACTAAGGCTGAGGGATGTTAAAGAAGAAGACATATTCATTAGGGAAATAGGACGGATGGAAGACATGTCTACACCAACAAGAAAAAGTTCCCTTACCTCTGTTAGGTTTCGTAGAAGTCCACTGAAAGTATTTTCATTGAGTGCTGGACTGTCATTCAAGGAGAGATCAAGTGAAACCAATTTTGACAATCTGGAGATTTCAGGCGGGACTTGCCCTGAGAAATTTGACATAGAAAGGTTGAGATATGACAATCTAGTAAATAAACCAAATTTAGATGAAATAATGGATTTCTTAAAATGATTATGGGCCAGGTTGAGCTTCTGCAAGTGTGGAAGAAGGAAGAGACTACTATTGGAATCAAGGGTACCATACAGCCAGCTGCAACGTAGATCAAGACCAATCACTTGGCCTGTTATATGGTCACAAGTGACTCCATCCCACAAGCAGCAGTCTGTTCCCTCCTTCCATAAATTTGTTTTAGGGTAAGATTTGGTGCCAAGTGATTTGCATTTTTCAGAAACAGGTTTGTTGATGGAAAAGGCGTTCTTGAATTGGATCAAGGCAACACCATCTTGGCGAGAGCACATTGGTGTTGTTGTTGAGGAAGAGGATAAAGATGAGAAAAGAGTAGCTTGAAACTTTAGAAAAGATAAAACAAGGCAAAGAAACTGACAGACTCTTGGCAAATACCCCATGTTTTTGGTTCAAAGAGAACTTTAGAATGGTAATGCAATGTAGGCAAAGATGATTATTTATAAGCTATTAAGTCAAACCATAGTCTTTTGCAAGCACTAGGTTTTTTCTTTTAATTAAAAAAAATTAAAATTGAAAATCAACAAAATTAATAGATTGATAATACTCTATTGATGAGCAGATTACTATTAGTTATTTGTCATTATTGTTATTTTATTTTGTTATTTCTTTTAAAAATAATAATTTTATTAACTTTTCAACCTAAATTTTATTGTAAGTCTCAAGCTGGTCTGTGGAAAACTCCCTATGACATAAAAATTCTGATCAAGACATAGATAATCCGTACACTTAAAAGGTGATCATTGCACAAAAAGCTATTGAGTACTGGTCACACTGCAATTTACACAAAAAAGCAACCTAAGACAATTTACACAAAAGTGCAAAAGAAATCTACCTATCCCCCCTCAACAAAAATTTGGGCATTCCTTCAATGAAATTGCAATAAAACTAACAGATCCAAGTAATTGTTACTCATCAAAAGGAGAGCCATAAATTTCAGCTCAAACATATGCAAAGAAACATCTCTTGTCCTAATTAACCTATCATGTAATATTCCAAAGCCAAGCTGCACCCCTAATTCCATTGCAACTCTTCAAAAATTCACGTCCAAGCCATTCTTGCATCCAGACACGAAATGAGACAGAACAACACGTGTCATTGACATGACATCATTCTTCCTTAAGTCGGGTCATTGGAAAAAATCAAGGATAAAGATCACATCCTTTGGAACGAAAGCAAGCACCACCTTTCCAAGGCCTAATGCCCCTTCCTGATAATAAAAGTAACAACCACAAAGAAATCTGAATGCACAAACAAAAAGAAAACAATCTGTTGCAGGTCAAGTCTACAAAATCTATAATTTCCTGATAAAGGGGAACGAATCACAACCTTGTCTTTTCAGGTGTAAAACACACATTTACAAATGGGACCTGTCAGCCCATATTCATTAGTTAACATGTCAGTGTGACATGTCTTTAGCAAATAATACTTAAAAGACTTTAGAGCTAATAAAATCAATTTTTTTTAAAAAATGTCAGTGTGGCATGCCGGTCAAAAGCTATACGAATATGTTTATTAATTAATGTATGGCTGTCTCTGATTGATTGCTGAGAAGATGGTGATGAAGGTATACTGCTTTCTTTTTGTAAAGAAAAAGAGAAGTTGAATCCTTATCCTGGAGGACCAGACACCACCCTAGTAGGTGAAACCAAATCTTCTTTCCCATTGCCTGTCCTAATTTCCACAAGTTATGACACGATTCATTTTTTTTTATTATTGTGTCAATACTTATTTGGCTTTAGCTTTTAACTTTTGACTGATATTTTGTAACCTTGATTCTTCAAGTGCTTGCCAGGGTAATTTGTTCTCATTGCCTTTTGGATTATTGTTGAAGGGTTTTGTCCCCAACATCACATCCATCCCAAAGTACAAGTTCTTTTAGGTGACAAACATGAAAACAAGGAAAGAGAACATCTGGAAGAATGGAAACAATTACTACCTTTCTTATGATCACTAAGGGTCTGCCTTGGTTACGAAATAATATATTGAAAGAAATTATTAATTATGTTTGATTTAATCTATCATTTTTTATTGTTGTTTCAATAAATAAAAACACAAAAAAACGTTTAGATTTGAAAAAATAAATAATAATTTTGAAAAGTTAAAAACTAATTATAATCTTTCAAAGTATCAAATAGATTATTATTTTATACGGAGCTGAATTCCAATAGAAAGGAAAATGAGTTACTCTGAAGTTTATAATTAGATGTTGCAAAGTAGTTTTGTAATGAAATTTAGAGATATCTATGTGCTGACCTGAGTTAGAATTTTTTTTTTTTTATCAATCAGATTATGAGTTTATTAATGAAAGAGTCTTAGTGTGATAATCACACCCAGCCAAGACATTTCATTACAAGCACCCCACAAGGGCCATAAACGCCTTGATCACCTTACCTAGATCTATGAAGACCTCTATTATGGATGTTGCCTTTTAATTTCTCATTTATTTTTTAATCAATTATGATTTTGTTTTTTACCCTTTTTTTTGGCCTTTTTAACAAATAATTATGAAACAAATTAAAATAGCTCATATGGAACTAAATGGATAACCATTTTTCATTATATATTTTGCTTTCTTTTATTTTTGGGCAATATTTTGCTTTCTTTTTTACCTATTTTATTGTAGCCCTAGAATTCAAGCCATCAAAGAATCAGCAAAGAGCGCAATAAACCTTTTGTCAGATATGGAGTTTTTTAAAAACTTTCATTGCGATTAATCATATAGTAATTTAAGAACAAAATGATCTTGATAAGCTTAACTAGAAAGTCCATGGTGCTTTCCAAATCAGAAGCCATCATCTACCTCCTCAAGCATACTCACACAAGCCAACCCCACATGTCGTGAAACATGCTCTCCTTCGGACATATTTTAAGGTTTAAAATAGATTCAAATTTTGGGACCTCATTGCACTTTGATTCAAACTGATAGGTTTGTTTAGTATGTCAGTTACAAGCTTATATGTATATTTTCAAAGCTCCATGAATTTGATTACTAAAGAAACAAAGATGACCATGATCCAATATCTCGATTCTATGAAATATAATTTTGAAGAAGGAAAAATTCAAACCCAGTTCTTAATTTATTTGTTATCTTGGTCGAATACTTACTCAAGTGCAAAGGCTTATGGTAAGTATATACATCTTCCTAGTGAACTAGTTCAATTCAAGTCCTCCTCTTTTTCCCACGTTCAAAGGAAAATCAAAGAGAATTTCCGTAATTTTAACGGAAAAGAAAAGAACAGGAAAGAACTAAGTCAAGTCTTTTTCTGGTGCCTTCTTTCCATGTTAAATTATAGTTTAATTTACAATAGAGACCTCCATTGCCACAAAATTTATAGTATAGTTTAACATGTAAGTGTTCAACTAGTAAAAAAGCAAATGAATAATATATCCACAAAATTCATGCTTTTATAGGAAAAAATTATAGTCATGATTCTTGTGAAGGCACCGTGTTGACTTGGAAAGAAGTTAGAATTTGTAGCATTCTGGACAATACACAGCAAGAATTCCATTTCTCTCATTTCGGTTGCTTCAGATTTCACTTCTCTAAAAAATCTCATCATTTTTTTTTATAATTCTCGATGTCACATGCAAGTCAATCTAAATTAGCAGAGGTTGCAAATATTGTTGCATTATATATGGGTGGAATTCAAAACAAAATGTGTTAAAAATTGAAAAATAAAGTTGAGTATAGCTTATTGAAACAAAACAAGATGGTGAACTTCATTACAAGGTACAAATATATATTATTACTGCAACATAGGGTATCATGGGAATGGAACAACATTTAGCCAAGACATTGATTCCAAAAAGCACTGGCAAAATATGGAAGGCCGCCCCTATTGTAACTAGTTACTTCTTTCGAAACGACTGCAAGCATTTTTACTTCCTTGATCTTTTTCCCCTTTGAAGCTGTTTTCCCTCGACCAAATTGATAATCCATTTTGGTTTTCCTGTTTGAAAGATAAGATATCCACCAGTCAGTCCAAATATCAAACCACATCCATACCCCATCAACACAACTTTCCACCCAAATCCAATTCCTGATTCTTTCATCGCTATGGTGGGCTTCTGCATCCCGATTTCATTGCAAGCTTTCGACAGTGGAAAGCCACATAACCCAACGTTTCCTTCATATGAACTGTTTTCAAAAGTGTTGAATTGTTTGCCTTGAGGTATAGATCCAACAAGTTGATTTTTGGACAGATTTAAAATGACAAGAAACGTCAAATTCACCAATTCCTGAGGTATGTTGCCAATAAACTTGTTCGATGAGAGATCTAACCATTCAAGATTAATCAAGTTTCCAATGGATGGTGGAATATGACCAAAGAAGTTGTTATGAGAAAGATTAAGCCCTATGAGTGAATTAAGCTTTCCTATAACTTCTGGAATCACGCCCTGGAAGTAGTTATTGGAGAGATCCATGCTTGTGAATATGGTTAAAACTTTCACCAATTCAACCTCTTGTCCTTTTATTGTCAGAACTACTGAATAATCATATGAGCGGCTTCCTTCCACGTATTTTGAAGAACTTCTGCTGTCAGTGAGATTCGCCATAGCTTTTAGATTTTCAATGTAACAAGCAGGAAAAGGACCAACAAAATCATTGTTAGAGAGGTCTAAGACTCGCAGCTTGGGAAAAAGTAGTCTTGCTCTGGAATTATTTACAACACCATGGAATTTATTTGAACTTAAAACAAGCACCTGCAGCATTGGAAGAGTTTCCAACCAATTGGGAAATGTACCCGTGAACTTGTTCTTGCCAAGGTCTAGAACCTGAAGGTTCCTACAATTGGCCAAAGATCCTGGTAACAACCCTTCAATTTGGTTTCCATGGAAGTTGAGATTCTCTAAGCTACAGGGTTCCACAATTGATTTGGGGATGGCTCCATGAAAATTATTTGCCCTCAGATCCAACACTAAAAGATTTTGACTAAAGTTAAGAAGACAACTGGGAATCTTGCCACTCAAATTGTTATGTGATACATCAACAATTTTCAGGGAACTGACCATGCAAATCAAAGAAGGAATCTCCCCCGTCATGTAATTGTTCGCGATGGAAAAGAAAGATGTCCGAACGGGTGGAATTGGAAGCACTCCTTGAAACAGGTTAGATTGGAGGTAGAGAATTACAACATTCCTCCATGGGAATTGCAAATGACCTGTTAGGAAATTATGATCAAGGTATAAATGTAACAAAGATTCCTTCCCCACTTTCCACATCCATTTGGGAATCTGGCCTTGAATTCTATTTTTGGAAAGGTCTAAAAACTTCAACACTTTTGAACCTCTCAAGAAATTGGGGAATTCACTCAAGTTACAAGACGACAATGACAAGGACTGGAGTTTGGTCAATGTGTAGTCGACATGATTCTCTGAGCTCAATGACAGACTATTAAGAGAAAGATCGAGTGATTCAAGATTTTGGAGCTGCGAAAACATGTCTAACTCAACAATGCCACTAAAGTTATTTAATGATAGATCAAGCACGGTGAGGTTTACAAGTTGAAAGATTGAGCTTGGAATATGACCCTGCAACATGTTATTTTTTAAATAGATTATGGACAAAGATTTTGACCGGAATTCGCTAATATGACCGGTGAGTCTATTATTTGCAAGAGACAATAACTGTAATGAAGGTAACTTAAACACCCAAGGTGGTATAGTTCCATTAAGTAAGTTAGAAGGCAAGAATAAAGTTACTAATTTTGAAAACCCATTTGCATAATGAGGAATAGTGCCCTCTAGTTCATTATATGATGCGTCTAAATGTTGAAGCTGTGTGAGGTTTGCAAGTGATGCTGGGATCCATCCACTAAACTTATTATCCGAGAGCTCTAGGACAACAATTTGTGAAAGGTTTACAAGTGATGCCGGGATTGACCCATTCAAGTCACAACTAGCAACATTTAAAGATTTCAATGACTTCAAACCCCTGATTGAATCGGACAATTCTCCAACAAGAATAGTCTGTTTAAGATCTAAGACTTCAAGGGCACTACTCCCATTGGACTTTGGAAGATAAACCACAAGTTCAGGGTTGTTACCTAATTTGAGCAACTTCAGATTTGGAAATTGAAAAATTCTGTCCGAAATTGTCCCATTTAATCCACAATCATCCAGACTAAGAGATGTCAAAGAGGAAGAAAGGTTCACTAAGTGAACAGCGTCAACTGAACACATGTCTATTCCAGCAAGGAAAAGTTCTTCTACCTCGCTAAAGTTCTGAGCTAACCTTTTCAGAGTTGTTGTTTCAAGCATCAGTTCTTGAAACGGTTCTTGTTCACCGACAGGAGGTAGACTGAACGTAGACAGATCAAGTGAAACTAGCTTAGAAAGATATGAGATTTCGGACGGAACTTGGCCTGAAAAAAATGAACTAGAGAGGTTAAGATGTGTTAAATTTGGGAACTGACCAAACTTGGCCGAAATCTTGGATTCCCCGAAATTGTTAAATGCGAGATTGAGCCTCTTCAAGTGTTGAAGGAGAAAAAGAGTGCTGTTGGAAGGAATGGTACCATAAAGCCAACTGCAACTAAGATCAAGGCCAATCACATGATCTGTAACGCCATCGCAAGTGACTCCATCCCATAAACAGAAATCTGAATCTTCCTTCCATGAGTCTGTCTTCGGAAAAGAATTCGTAGGACTGCCATAATTTGAATTGCAAAGTAACGAAGCAGTATAATCAATAAAGAGGGTCTGCTTGAAGAGAAGTAAAGCCTGACCCTCATTGTGAGACCATGTTGGCCTTTGCATTGAAGAAGTAAAACAAGACGAAATGTAAGCCTGAGAATACAAGTACAAGAAGAGGAACGAGACGAATTGATAACTCCCAAGAAAAGACCTCATTTTTCCTATGTCAAAGTTCATATAAACTCTTGATTTGGTTGATGAGGAGACGCATGGAAGTCTTTATAAACTGAGTAGCAAGTGCAATTCTTAATTTTTCTGTTCTCTCAATCATATTTTTCCACTGAAAAGTGACGGATGAACTAACGCACGCAGAAGACTAACAACAGATTCTACATTATTACAATAGGGAAGACTCAAATGAGAAATGATGTCAAGTTATGAAATCCTGAAATATTGGGGGTGGTAGCAACACAGATTTTCTTGGAAGATTCAAATTACTTTCGTTTTGGCATCTCATTTTGTCTGAATCTATTAGTTTGGATCAAATCATCATTAATAATTATTCTTAAATCCTATAGGCTTGTTTAAATTCAAGTATAAAGCTTATTTCTTTTTCAATGAGTATAAAATCCAATTTATTAATTCGGCTCAAGGTCAATCTGTTAATTTGGTTTAAAGCCTCCAATGCTAATTGGGCTAAATGGGTCAGTTGCATCTCGAGTTGACAAGTCCACATTAAAAAACGAAATTAAATACATCAAAAAGTAAAACATAGTAAAATACAAAAAAAAATGCTAATAAAAACATAATTAAAAAACAAAAAAGAGAGAAAAATGGCAGTTGTCATACCAAATAAGAAATGAAAATGAATGAAAGGTTTAAAATTGCACCTCTTCTTATAAGATATCAATTCATAAAATTTTTCAAGAAAATGGGAATTAATGATAGATCCAAAAAAAAAAAGTTCTCAATATTTAAACAATAATAATAAAAAAGTTAAAATAATTAAATATGAAATTAAAAATGATTCATCAAATATTAAAATAAAATAACACATGATTTATCAGTATTGTTCTTTAAACAAGCGTCATAGCAGTGCTAATATTTTCATTATAAATAATTGTATTATCAAATTCTAAAACTATTTCGTAAATCAAATATTATTTTTTTCAATAAACTTAAGTCAAATTTAAGATATCATTAGAAAAAATAGATTCAAATAAATAATCCATTACACTTAAATAAAAATAATTAATCGTGTCTCCTCCTGACCCAAAGCGATCGGTGCCTAGACTCATACAATACAATTTATATCTATCACAGTAAAATCAACACAAAGTACAAATTGGTCAGCCACGATTCAATTAAATAATTCTAAAACTTCCAGGAGGCAATGACTAATCTTACAAGTGGTAAATTGAGTTGCACTAAAACCCACTTGAAAGTGGGAAGCCCAATCTCAAGTCTTGCAACAATTTCATCTTCAAACACAAATGATGGAATTTCTGGCATAACGCATACAAATAAAAGAAAAAATCAATTAACGTGGGGGAAATCTTCTAGATAGTCAAAAATGGGTTATTTATTTGTTCTCATTGCAGGTTCACTACATTCTTCAAATTAAGAGTCTCCATTTGTCATGCATCCCAATGTTACTGGTATTCTTTATTTTCCATAAAATTTAAACTTATCACTTTGTTTAAATTAACCACTCATTGTTCAATAAGTGTAATTTTATCGTATACTACTATATAATGCTTGTTAATTTGATTTAAATATGAAAATAAAATAAAATATTTTTTAGAGTGTTCTTTTATTTCATCTTGAAATAATTTTTAAATGGTTAACTTTTGATCTTTTTTTTTTTGACTAAATTAAAATGTAAAAATGATACAATTATACTCTTTTAAAAACATATGAAAATTTTGATTTTTCTCTCCTGGTTTGCATTTTTTCTATTTTGCTTTTCTTTTACTTAACACAAGCATGGAATTGCCTGTGTTATAACAAGCAAAATTCTCAAGCCTGACCTGGTTTGTGGAAATTCAGCTCGATGTTTAAAGAAATTCTATTTTTGCATTCATCACCTATGATTAACATGCTTACAAGTTCTTTCTTGTATAAGCCAGTCATTTCATTCATCAAAGTGCATGAACATCCAACAAGTACAACAAAGCTGTTCACAGAGGACAGTACCTTTAGGAAACAAGGAATTCAAAACAAACAGGGAGAAAACTGCTAAAACAACCCAGGCATGAGAACTACAGACACTTATTATACGAAAATTATTCAACAAATCTCCAGAGAGCATCATCTGTCTTCACAGAGTTCTTCTTCTTCAATGATATCTGTTCAATCTCCTCAGAATTTTGTAGCCTACTCTTTGAACCATCGTAGCTAGCCATTCTGGTTTTCCAATTGTCAATATGATATATCCTGCAGATAATCCAAGCACCAATCCACATCCATAACCCATCATTACAAATTTCCAGTCCAATGCAGAAGAAAAAATTCCTTCCTCGTGAAAAACAGATTCTGGTGGTTCTTGTGTGTCTTCCTTGCCACAAGTCTTTGACACTGGAAATCCGCACAATCCCAAGTTGCCACCATAGGAATCATTCAGAAAGGTATTGAATTGATGTCCCTGAGGTATATGTCCAACAAGCTGGTTCTGTGACAAGTTTAACACTCCAAGAAATTTCAAACCAGTCAACTGCATAGGAATCTCCCCGCCAAGCTTGTTGGAAGAGAGATCCAGTGACTCAAGCGCTGCTAGATTTCCCAATGAGGAAGGAATATGACCTGTTAGGCTGTTATGGGAAAAATTGAGGATTTGGAGAGAAGTGAGGCTTCCAACTATTTCTGGAATTTTTCCTTGGAATTTGTTGCTAGAAAAATCAACGGCTGTAAAAACAGTTAGAACTCTCTCAACTTGAATGTCCAGACCTTTCATTGTGACAAACATGGAAAAATGGTAATAACCATTAGGATTTTCCATATATTTCATTTCCACATTGGACAAATTCATCATACCCTTGAAACTTTTAAAAAATGCAGTTGGCAAAAATCCAGAGAACTCATTGTGCGAGAGGTCTAAAATTCGCAGAACTGAGAAATTCGATTCAGCTTCTGAAAGGAGTATTTGACCATGGAAATAGTTGGAGCGCAAGATAATAACTTTTAGCTGAGGAAGAGATCCCAACCAGTGGGGAAAGATATCATTTATCTTGTTGTTTCCAATGTTTAACACTTCCAAATCATGACAGTTCACCAAGGATTTAGGAAATGGCCCATCAAAATCATTGTTCTGGAGATTAAGTGTCTGTAATTCATTTCCAACCACAAATGAATCAGGGATGTTTCCATGAAACTTATTCATGTGCAAATCCAGGATGTAAAGACCAAGCATGGTTTCTCCCGAGCAAAGACATTCTGGAATAGTTCCACTCAAGTTGTTATTGGACAAGTCAAGAATTGAAATCGACGTCAAATTGCATATGGCAGAAGGAATTTCTCCAATCAATTTGTTTTTTGAGACTAAAAAAACTGTTGTGGAAGATGGTGGTACTAGAAGTGGTCCTTCTAGCAGGTTGGAACCAAGGTTAAGAATCCCTAAGTTCTGTGGGTAATATTCTAGACCCGTCAAAAAATTATTTGAAAGATCAAGATAATTCAAATTTTTTCCCCAAGTTGTTGTCTGTTTGGAAATTTGGCCTTGAATGTTGTTGTTTGAAAGGTCTAAATGTAGCAAACTCTCTTGAGCTGTCAAAAAATTTGAAAGTTCAGTTATATTGCAAGAAGACAATGACAAAAAACTAAGATGAGGCAAGACAAGACTAACGTCGCTATTATTGCTCAAAGATAGTGGAACGTTATGTGAAAGATAAAGAAATTCAAGGCTTTGAAGCCTTAAAAACATAGTTGCCTCGATAACATGGATTTTATTGTAAGAAAGGTCCAGATAGACTAAGCCTTCTAGATTTCTTACAAAATCCGGAAATTCACTTATGTTGCAAGAAGATAATTCTAACCACCCAAAATTGGGCAAGGAGTAATTCGCATTGCTTCCACTGGTCAATGACAGTAAAGCATTATTTGAGAGAGATAGTATCTGAAGCTTGTTAAGCTTTGAAAGTTTGTCCAATTCGAAGATGCCATTCAACTTATTTGAGGAAAGATTAAGATGGATAAGGTTCACAAGTTTGAAAACAGAGCTTGGAATTGGACCATGTATCTCATTATTCTGCAGCTTAACAATCTCCAAAGGAGCAACCTTCTCAAATGGGTCAATAGGACCAGTTAGGCTGTTATAACTGAGATCCAAATCAACCAAAGTTGGAAGAGTGAACAACCAATTTGGTATTCTACCATAGAGAAAGTTATGATCCAAGTGTAGTTCCCGTAGTCGTGAAAGCCCACTTACCTGATAGGGAAGGGGACCCACCAACTTGTTTGTTGAAAAGGACATAATTTCAATATTTGTGAGGTTGAATGCTGAAAATGGAAAAAGACCATCAAGATTGTTATGATCTAAAGACAAGTGATAAAGTTTGGTGAGGTTTCCAAAACCATCTGAAATCTGTCCTACCAAATTATTATAGGAAAGGTCTAAATATGTGAGCTGCTTGAAGTTAGCAAATGAAAATAGAAGTTGGCCAGTAATTAAGTTCCGCCGCAGGTCTAAATAATTTAGTCTAGTAAGGTTGCCAAGAGATGCAGGAATTGACCCTCTTAATTGGCATAAAGAAAGATCCAATACCTGGAGAGACCTAAGATTGCCAATTGAATCCGGTAGTTCTGCCAGAGAAGATGCATATGAGACTCGTAGTAACTTGAGCGGACCAGTCCAATTAGTCTTTGGGAAGCTGATTTCCAGGATATCATCATTATTAAATAAACTGAACTTCTGGAGGTATGGAAGGCGGAAAACATCTTCAGGGAATTTCCCCCGCAGTCCAATACTATCAAGAACAAGAGTCCTTATGAAAGAAGAGATGTTAAGGAAAGAACTAGGTTCAACTAAAGACATATCGATAGCAGAGAGATCAAGGTCTCTTAGTTGTGTCAAGTTTCCCAAGAGTTTTTCAAAAACATGCCCCTCAAAGATTAAAGGATTTCCGGATAGATCAAGAGATAAAAGTTTAGAAAGGTGAGAGATTTCAAGTGGGATTGTACCTAAAAATCCTGAGCCGCTGATATTTAGATGGGTTAAATCAGTAAACTGACCAAACTCAAATGCCATGCGGGACGGGCGGAAATAATTTTCAGCAAGGTTGAGCTTGTGGAGATGGTGGAGAAGGAAGAGGCTGCTATTAGAGGGGATGCTGCCACCAAGGCAGCTGCAACTAAGATCCAGGCCAATCACGTTACCTGTTTCAGAATCACAGTCCACCCCATCCCAGAAGCAGCAATTCGTACCCACTTTCCAGGAGATTGTCTTCCTCCTATATTTATCGCACGATAAGGAAAGAGAGCAATCGATGGAAAGGGAATTCTTGAATTGGATTAAGGCAAAGCTCTGGTCATAAGGACACGACTTAGATGGAGTAGAAGAATTGAAAGAGAAACTAGATAATGAGCAATCAACTTGAAAGTTAAAGGACAAAAGGAGGAAACAGAGGACAAAACACCACTCCATTAACCCTTTCATTTTTTTGTTTTTTTTTCTCAGAGATGATGAAAGTAGAAAGAGGAGAAGCTGAATGTGAAGGTTGAGAGAGAAGCCTGGAGACTATATTTATTTGATTTATGATTTCAAGCAAGCAATCACTCATCATGTTCACACGTTCAAGCAACTGTTTTCCTTACTGATATTTTTTAAAAGAAACTTATTTCATACATTGTCTAGACTTCATCAATTAAATTAATTAGATTGCCACCTACTTCATTAAAATATATTTTAAAAAATTAATAATTTAATATGCCCGGTCTTCAAAACTCATAAGACCAAGACTTTGGCCGACTACTTTTCCACCCACGCGAGAGAGCATGGCTCAAACCAACGACTCTCAACATGACTTTGGTATCTTCTCCGAAAAGGCGTAATAGTGACGGCTGACTATCGACAATGGAGTGGACAGGAATTGAACAGGTCATTGATGCTAATACTCTTTGAAAGGGAGTAGTATGGAGACTCTCTTTCATCTTCACCATAATACTAAATATCAATTTGGCAAAATCAATACATTATCCAGGGCAACAAGAGACTGAATTTTATAAAGCAATAAGGCATACAGGAGAAGCAACATTATCAGCAGCAAGCCAATAACCCCTCTTTTTGTTCAAATCAAATCCCTTTCTTGTACCCTTTGGAGATTGGGTAAAATTTAAAAAACTCCTTAAACCACTTCAAAAAAGATACTTTGATTTTTTTTTATTTTAAAATGATATTTTTAATTTTTGACTATTAGCATTTTTAGTCAACTTTTAAAAAAATTAGACCAAATATTATATAAATTTTTTTGACATAAATATTCTCTTTTCAAAAAATCTGCTCATTATTCTCTCTAAATTTTTAATTTAAAAAATCTAAAAGCTTTTGATTTGAAGTTTAAAAATTTGAAGCTTAATCTACCTTGAAAACCGTAAACGCCTTTTGAGGTAAACTCTATTATCTCACACTCTTTATTTATACAATAGTTTAAGAATTTTTATTAAAAAACTAAAATAAAGTAAATATTTTACTCAATTATGAATATTTCAAATTTGATGATATCGGGTTAAAAAAATTAATTTTTTACTTAAGGTTACTAATTTTACTGAAAAATTTTTGCTCAAAAATTTTTTCCTCAAATTAATTTAAACTGTATCGCTTCTGTTAAAAAATATATAAAGAATACAAAAATAAAAAATTGGATAAAAAGGGAGAAAAAGCCCAAAACCACTTTTATAGTTTTATTTATATACCAAAACAAAAGGCCTAATATGCCTTTGACGTTTCTCTTAAAGTAAATGACAAAATCCATCAAGTGATCTTTAATGGCTTATAATTTGAAGTGAATCAAATTTG